CATGTCACCTGTATTTATCTATTTGTTATGAGTTTTTTAACAAAATGAATCTAATTAAACAGAATATATTTAAAGAAAATAAAATATTTTTTTAACAGAAGTTCTATAAAACTCTAACACAAATTCCCTATTTATCCATTTATTATAAATTTTTTAATAAAAGAAAATCTTATTAAACAAGAATTATAAATATAAAAATTATTTATGAATTGATATAAAAAAATTAAATAATTTCTCTAAAACTCTACCACAAATTACCTTTTATTATGTGTTTTAATAAAAGAAAATCTAATTAGACAAGGATATATTTAAGGAAAATAAAATAATTTTTATTAAACTCTTCCACAAATTACCTGTTTTATTTTCAATAAAACTCTATCATATTAGACAATGATATATTTAAAGAGTTTCCATAAACTCTAATACAAATTACCTATTTATCTATTTATTATGAGTTTTTTTAATGAAGAGAAATATAATTAGACGAGAATTATTATTATAAAAAATATTTATTAATTGCTATAAAAAGAGATTTTAAAAAAGTTTCTATAAAACTCTAACATAAATTACATATTTATCAATTTATTATGAGTTTTTTATTAAAATATAATCTAATTAGACAAGAATTATTAATATAAAAAATAAAAAAAGATTTCTAAAACTTTATCACCTATAACCTATTTATTATGAATATATTTAAAGAAAATAAAATAATTTTGTAAAACTAAACCACAAATTACTTATTTTATTTCTTTAAAACTTTATCACATATAACCTGTTTTTATATATTTACTATGAGTTTTTTAATAAAAGAAACTATAATTAGACAATGATATATTTTTAAAAAATAAAATAATTTTTTAAAAGAGTTTCTATAAAACTCTAACACAAATTACCTATTTATCTATTTATTATGATTTTTTTAATAAAAGAAAATCTAATTAGACAATAATTATTTACATAAAAAATATTTATTAATTGATATAAAAAATATAATAATTTCTCTAAAACTCTACCTCAAATTATATTTTATTATGAGTTTTTTAATAAAAGAAAATCTAATTAGACAATGATATATTTAAAGAAAATAAACTAATTTCTATAAAACTCTAACACAAATTAACTATTTTATTTTCAAGAAACTCTATCACATTAGAAAAGAATATATTTAAACTCTAACACAAATTACCTATTTATCTATTTATTATGAGTTTTTTAGGAAAAAAAATTCTAATTAGACAAGAATTATTAATATAAAAAAATATTTATTAATTGGTATAAAAATAGTTTTTAAAAGAGTTTCTATAAAATTCTAACTCAAATTACCTATTTATCTATTTATTATGAATTTTTAAGAAAAGAAAATCTAATTAGATAAGAATTATTAATATAAAAAATATTTATTACTCTATCAACCAACATGCATACTCTATTTCTTTTCCATTGCGTATTATTCTCACTTTTTTTTTTTTTTTTTTATTAAGTGGAAGCGCATTTGTCCCGCACTCAAATATTGGCAAGAAGATTTGATCGTTTTCATAATCAGCTAACAATTAGTTGCAATGAAGCATTGCTAAATGCTTATGTTTTTTGCACGTTGCCAAATACTTGGGACTCTTGTAACGGTCTTGTAACTGTTTTTGGCGCTTAAGTTATCAAGTTGTTGGTTTAAATATGTACTTTTTAGAAAATTTAATGTTTTTAAGAGAATGATTTTTTCTTTTTTTAATTGTACTAGTGGTGAATGAATTATTAATTTTACTCTTAATGGGTCCACAATGATGTGATGGTTACCTTTTTTATAGGTTCAATGCAAGAAGATTAAATTGGTAATATTAGGAAGAAAAAAAATAAGACATTAACTTTTCAAATAGAAAAAGGACACTAATTTTAGAACCAATAAAAATAGAAAGATTGAACAATTTTTTTTGAAATGGAGAGAGTATTAAGTTTTGAAATTTTTGAAGGCTAAATATGAAAAGATTCATTATTTTGTTATGAAAAGTCAAACAAGACAACTAATATGGGACAATCCTAAATATAAAGATGAACAATTAATATGAGGCAGATTCAGTAAATTGCATAATCGCAATCTTAGTCGCACAATTTTTCTCAATAGGTGTTGTTCTCACTCTCCAAGCGCGCATTTTTCTCAATAGGTGTCGCTCTCACTCTCCGAGTGCGCGAGCGCGCTGTGTTTCAAATTCTCACCATTTATGACTTAATTTTCTCGCTCTCGCTCTCACTCTCGCTTTATGTGACTTAGATCGTGATGTTTTTAAATATATATATTGCTTATTACTAAAGATATACCAATGAAAGATTAATTTTGAGATGCAATAGAGAGAATAAATTCTTTAAATTACAAGTGTTCAATTGCTTACACCAAAGCACAAAGAATAAAAAATAAAAAGTAAAAAAAAAAATTGAAAAAGAAATGTACTTTATTGAGGTATTAAAATAAAGTACATGTGAAAAAAAAAAAAAATAACTCAAATATTAATCAATTAATGTATCGTATTTTAAGACATTTGATATATCATAAAAGGAAAATAATTTTTGCATTGAATAGTTACAATGAATTATTAGACCTATTTTTTTAATTATCTAATTATGCAACAAATAAGGAAGTAGAACCCTCCTCTTAGTTGTATTTGCTAAAATTATTTGATTAAACAATTCGCTGATTTAAAAAAAAAAAATCCTAATCCAAATATATCTACAGCAAAACAGTTTTACAATTTTGCTGTGAAAGACTAAAAACTGTTGTTAATACTTTCATTAGGCTAAATAGTGTAACATATTTAGCAACAGGACTTCATGCGTTTGTATAATGTCAAAGAATATTTAGGAAACTTAATTTGGACTTTGGGTGCCAGGGTTTGATTGCATGGAGATAAGAAAGTGATGATTTGTAGATAAATATTGCACACAAATGGCAGCTGGCTCACTGTCTTGGAACAAGCAAAGGTTTAATATATTTTAGTAGGTCCATTTGAACATATTTAAATGAATATTGAATTCGAATTTGAATAAAAAAGTGATTGGGTGTAAATAGATGGGTATGCAGTATTACCCAACAACTTGAATTTTTTAATAAATGGATAAGTACCTACTCGTTACAGTTAGTATCAGAGTGAAAATCAGTCCTTGATCCAGTGTCACGCCAAGCGCACTGTTCAGAGGATGTTCGGGTTTACAGCTTAGGTAGAGAGGATGGTCCGAGCTGCAACGGGAGCGTTGCGGTTTGGGTGAAAAAGAATGTAACAAGGATTATTTGTCTCATATCGTATGTAAATAAAAAAATAATTAAATATAAATGAATAAGTATACAATCCAATAACTAAGACTTTTAAATAAATGAACAAACGTTTTACTCATTCATCCTCATATAATAAATGTGGCTTTATTCTCACCTAGAGAGAATAAAAGCACCGAAACCAAGGTTTAACGTCCAATACGTAGTATTATTTTGTAACACATTGTCCAAGAGAAAGGAAGGACTTCTCTCTAAATTTATGGAGAGAGAGCTCTTCCCAAAATTCCCTATTAATTCTTTCTCTATCCGTCCTTTTCTTTTGAAAAAAAAAAAAAAAAAACCCTTACTTCAATGTATGTGAAATATTTGTGAGATGAAATTATCAACTGATTAAATATTAATAAATTAATTGGAGTAATTACATTTTTATTTATGTGATTGAATATAATTAGTTAATAACACTCGTGACAAATAATAGAACTTAAAATTATTTCCTTCCAATTATCTCCGTCTCCTGCAAATTAGTCTCTTTCTTGACAATGAAAGACCATTTATGTAGGATCCTTCATGTTAAATGGGTCTTTGACTGGAAGGTGGTGTGGATTGTGGCTTTCCACCATGATTTGAACATATATGGTAGGCTTAATTTGTTGCCTTAATTAGTCCACTTTTCTCTAGTTGATTTGGAGATCTCATATCTTCTTCACTTTGGTTTCAACAGTACTCATAGTCATAGCAGGTTGTTGATCATGGCGATGAGTTCTATGCGGTGCGTCGTTGGGCTATTGAATGTGCAGCTTGTGTTGAGTTCTATGCGGTGAGTGGCATTTGACTACATTACCAAGCTCACACTTCCTTTTTGCCCCCAACTCCAATGTGGGATTGGGGGCATTTTTGTAAAAATACATATTGTCGTTAGAGGCAAGTTCAACCTATTCAGTGGCCGATTAGCAAAAATACTTTCTAAATCAACTTGCCTGAGCAACAAAACCAACTAAGATTCTATTATTATTCTATTCTCATTCTCATTTTCATTCCCATTTTCATTTCATTCTTATTCCATTTTCATTCCCATTTTCATTTCATTCTTATTCCATTCTCATTCTCAAGTTTATTTCATTTTCATTCCATTCTCTATTTCATTCTATTCCTACCTTTTCATTCCATTCTCTCCATTCACATTCATATTTCATTCTCTGATTTATTCTATTCTCATTCCATTTAGCATTTGAGAGTGCACTTCTTAGCTTCATTAAATACATGAGTGCTCTAATTTTTCTATTTTTGTCAATTAATAAATTTGAATTTTACCCAACCAAAAATAAGTTATTATTTTAATTGTGAATAAAAAATAAATATGTTTCACGAGAGTCAATGTTTGACAATAAATCCAGATTTCTTTGGAGATTGAGAGTTTTTAAGAAGTAAAACAATTTCTTTAATTTCTTTATGTTGCTTTCTTACATGTTTGCTTGCACATTAAAGAAAAATTAATGGCGGTTAATGCTTTCGTTTTCTTCAAGCATATCAAATGTAATATGATGAAATTTCATCTATAATTATTTATTGCAGTAATATGTTTCCTTTTTTGCTTTTGACTAGTTTTGATGAAAAGAATTTCCAGGCAATTATCACAATCATCATACTTTTTAATATATATCAATTAATAAGCGTTCTAATTGATCCAACCTGCAAAACAAGGAAAGGGTCGCAGTGAAAGCATACCTCATTAAAAATATATATATACACCATTCGAAAAGGGTGGCAAAAGCCCTTCTTTTTTTTCTTTTTTTTCAAGTGGGAAGGAGACCCACTTGGAAAGTGAGAGGTTTAAAATATTCACACATGCGAAACGCATTTCTTATGACACCCCAAATTAATATAAATTTCATACCCTCATTCTCTTGATTAACTTCCCCTCCATTCAATAAAACAATAATTAAAAACTTACCCAAAACCATAATTGAAAACTTACCCAAAAACAAACATTTCCTAGAGCAAGTGACATGTCTTCCTTTCAATCCATCATGACCTCGAACTTTGACGAGCAACGATGGGTTATTCAAATCCGTCGAACCCTAGACCAAGAGCTCGAAGAGGAAGCTGAAATCCCGGTAAGCATCTTCAACGTGCCCAAAACCCTAATGGCTAGTGATCCGGATTCATATATCCCACAAGAAGTTGCACTAGGTCCATACCATTATTGGCGTCCGGAGCTCTATGAGATGCAGGGATATAAGCTTGCTGCCGCGAAAAGAATTCAGAACCAGCTCCAGAGCCTCAAGTTCCAAAATCTCGTCAACCAGTTGATAGGGCTGGAGCTGAGGATTCGAGCTTCTTACCACAAGTACCTAGATTTCAATGGCGAAACCTTGGCTTGGATGATGGCAATAGATGCATCCTTCATGCTTGAGTTCCTTCAAATCTATGCCCTCAAAGAAGGTAAGACTCTAACCAGAATTTCATCTAGGATGTCCCATTTGGTTGATATTTCAGGCAGCAAGTCAGCCCATAATGCCATTCTTCGCGACATGGTAATGCTCGAGAATCAAATCCCACTTTTCGTACTAAGGAAGATGCTAGAATTCCAATTTTCGTCGTTGGAATTGTCAGATGATATGTTACAGTCCATGTTTATGGGATTGTCCAAGGAGATTTCCCCCTTCAAGATGAAGGAAAAATTACCAAATGTTCAAGTCTCTAAGTGCTCTCACTTGCTAGACTTTTTGTACCATTTGATAGTGCCCGAATCGGAACAATATCATCAATCATCAGAAATAACTGAAGTTCCTGAGAATCAAGAAGATGCCAAGAAAGGAGAAGAAGTTTCATTTGGGAAATCAAGTCATGATGTTAAACAACTCCTTGAAGTGATTTCGAATCTCCTTTCAAAATTAAACAAAGGCCCGGTACGTCTTCTCAAGAGGGTAATATTCTCAAAGCCTGTCAAACTCATACTAAAATTGCCTTGGAAAATCGTCTCTAACCTTCCAGGAATTCGTATTTTGAAACAACCAATTGAATTGCTCCTCTCCCAAGTAAAAGAAGGAAAACCTGAAAATGAGAGTTCTGCTTCGAATGATAACATTAACAAAGCTCCACTAGTTGTGGAAATCACAATCCCTTCAATCACAGAGCTCTTCAAAGCCGGTGTTCATTTGTTACCCACTAATGGTAGCATTTCAACCATTAGATTTGATGGTAAAAAAGTTACACTTTACCTCCCTATGGTTACTTTAGATGTGAACACGCAGACAGTGTTTAGAAATTTAGTAGCATATGAAGCTTGCAATGCATCGGGTCCATTGGTTTTCACTCGTTACACTGAATTAATGAATGGGATTGTTGATAATGAAGAAGATGCAAAGCTACTTAGAGAAAAAGGGATTATTTTGAACCATTTGAAGAGTGAAAAAGAAGTTGCCAACCTGTGGAATGGAATGAGCAAGTCTGTTAGGTTGACCAAAGTGCCCCGCTTAGATAAAGTGATTGAAGATGTTAACAAGTATTACAATGGTAGGTGGAAGGTTAGAGTTGAAAAATTCATGAAGATTTATGTGTTTGCGTCATGGCGAATTCTCACTCTTCTGGCTGCTGTTTTGGTCTTGTTGATGATGGCCTTACAAGCCTTTTGCTCTGTGTATACCTGTTCTCGTATATTCCATCTTATAGCTACCGCTTCAACGGTTCCGTGATCCTGTATGTACATCTCTATCATGAGTGATGGTGTTCCTGATTTCCTCCGTTCATCAGACATACTCGCATATTATCTACTTCGGTCGTCTGAATTTGCCGTCTTCTTCTCACTAAAGAAGAAAGAATGTAATGATGTTGTGATTGTATTAAATTGCCATATTGTTAATTGTTGGCCGTTAGTTTCAACCAACTAAATAATTTCTATGTGAAGAAAGGAGAAGAATGAATGGATCAACAAATATTATTATTTTGTATTCAATTCTTTTTGTTGTGTTGATCTATTTCAACAACAAATTTCTTAGACCATATATATTATTCTCTCAAAGACCATTGAACTTTTCAAGATAATTTCCAACCACACACATGATACATGCACTCACTCGATATATGTACATACTTAATACATGTATAATAAAAATACATGAATAAACTTAAAAATACATAATAAACATAGTATTAATTTAATTTTAACATTATTGCCTGTCGTGATCATGATGATGTGTTCTTTCTTTCCTTAAATTAAAATTTCTATTCAGCTTTTTCTTAGTTTTAAATAATGATTTTGCACTTGACAGAGAATATGCCAATATGGTATGTGATTTGCATATTATGGATACTCACCAATGGGGCGGGTGGAACAATTTATCAAGTAAGGGTGGATGTCTGAAGTTTGATTCGTCTCCCTCAAAACCCAGCTTCCTAATAAGTAATCTTTTCCCAATTAAAGTTGCTATGGTCATATTACATTCTTAAATTAAAATTGGTACACCGGCATTGCGACTTGGCACGTGTCCGAAAGAAATAGTCTCATGCAAAAAAATTAATGCAACACCCTCTAGTAAAAATAGGAGCTGGAGGATTCAAATGCCAAAAAAAAAAAATGTTTGGATAGCTTTATTTACAAAACATATCTATGAATTCTACAATTTTTATTTTTAAGTGGTACTCACATACGTATTTTCTTCCAATAAATTGTGGTAGTGGTGGTGAAAGGCAGTGGTGGCAGTGAAAGGTGGTTGTGGAAGGTGGTAGTGGTGGTGAAAGATAGCGGCGGTAGTGACAGTGGTGGTGGAAGGCTGTGATTATGGTGAAAGACAGTGGTGGTGGAAGGTGGTGGTGGTGTTGAAAGGCAATAGCGATGGTGGCAATGATGGTGGAAGACTGTGGTTGTGGTGAAAGGCAGTGGTGGTAGTGTTGAAAGGCAATAGCATTGGTGGAAGGTGGTGGTAGTATTGAAAGGTAATAGCGGTGGTGGTGGTGGTGGAATGTGGCGATGGCGACGTTGGTGATGGAAGGTGGTGGTGGTGGAAGGTGGCATTGGCAGCGTTGGTGGTGGTAGGTGGTAGCGGCGGTGAAAGGCGATAGTGGCGGCGGTGGTGAAAGGCGATGGTGGCGTTGGTCGTGGCAGTGGTAGTGGAAGGTGGTGGCGGTGGTAAAATGCAATGACGGCGTTGGTGGTGGAAGGTGGTGGTGATGTTGAAAAGCAATAGCGATGGTGGTGGTTGCGGCAAAGGAAGGCAGTGTCTATGGTGAAAGGAGGTGACGGTGGTGGTGGTGGAAGGTGGTGGTGGTGAAAGGAAGGCAGATGTGGTTATGGTGGAAGGTAATGGAAGGTGGTGGTGGGGGTGGTGGTGGTGAAAGATAGATGTAGTTATGGTGGAAGGTTGTAGTGGAAGGTAATTGTGGTTTTTGGACTTAGAACATGAAGATTTTTTGGGAAGGTTATTTTTTAAAAAAAAATAATAATTGGGAATGGAATTGGCATTCCATAGATTTAGTCCTATTTCAATATAATGGTCATTCTAAATTCATTCCTATTTCAATAGAATGGTCATTCTAAATTACATATCAAACAAAGGAATGATTGGAATGGAATGGAATGAAATTACTAACAGATTAAATACTACTAAATCAACTTAAGTAATTGTATTTTTATTTATGTAACTAAATATAATTGGTAGGTTATAATGACACTCATGAGCAGGTGACGTATAATAAAACTTAAAATTATTCCCTTCCCATTCTCTCCGTCCCTGCAAATTAGTCTCTTTCTTGACAAAGAAAGACCATTATTGTAGGATCCTTCATGTTAAATGGGTAGTCTTTGAGTGAAAGGTGGTGTGGAACATATATGGTAGGCTTAATTTTCTGCCTTAATCCTTCCATACTTCTCTAGTTGATCGATTTGGAGATCTCATATAGATCTTCTTCACTTTGGTTTCAACACTACTCATAGCAGGTTGTTGATCATGGCGATGAGTTCTATGTTGGGCTGTTGAATGTGCAGCTTGTGTTGAGGTTCCATGCGGTGCGCGGCATTTGGACTACATTACCAAGCTCATCGTAGACACTTCGTTTTGCCCCCTACTCCAATGTGGGATTGGGGGCATTTTGGTAAAAAGACATATTGTTGTTAGCCACTAAATGAGGCAAGTTCAACACTTCAACCTATTCACAGTGGACGGACGATGAGCAAAAATACTTTCTAAATCTAATTGCGTGACCAACGAAACCAACTAAGATTAAAATATGAAAACAAAGGAATGTACGAGATCAAAATACTAAAAAAAATATGTGGCCATGATTACTGTTTATCATCATACAAAGATAAAACCAAATCAATTATCTTATCCATGTTTACCTCCAAAGTCATACCAATCAAATAGGCGTGATCCACGCACACTCCGTCACTCCAATTCCACCATACTGCCATGTCAACAACACCTACCTCTCACGTCATTAAAGGCTTGTTGCACCCTAATTTTAAACCCTAATCTCTTGGGTTGTGAGAGTTATCTTCGTACACTAAATAGATTTTTTTTCTCTCGAAAATTAAGGACTTAACAACACTAAGACACTCGATAAAAAAAAATAAATAAATAAAGAACAGTCGCTTTTAATGTGGTAATAAATCAAACGTCCTGGTAGATCCCACCTGGCATACTAAATGTGCTGCCTATTCTAAACAAAATTAAACCAATTTTAAACAAAATCATCCTTTAATCCGTACCTTCTTCGCATCACTTTGTACATCAGTTATATAGTAACTTTTATTTTTTTATTTTTTTGTGAAAATTCTTCTCTCTACAAAATACTTTTCTCTATAGGACTTTGTTGCAACGAATGAATTGTTTTTTCTTTTTATGTTGTTTTCAATTAATATTATGTATTATTAATATTTTTTAAGAAAAGAGAGTATATTTGAAAGGTGAGTTCTATGCCCGTAAGTTTTGAAAGAGCTAAATTTAGAATTATGGGTCAATTGAATTTAAGAGAAGTTCTTATAATGAAATGGTATCATCAATCAATTAGTTTGTCAGACAATAAATAAAGTTGGGTTTTTGAAGAAAACGATGTGTTTGATGACTCTCAAATCCAAATTTCCATCAAACGGCAAAATTTGTGTCGGAAAATGACGACATTTTTTATGTCAGACAGTGCATCGGCAACAAGAGGACGAAGACGATAAGTGAGGGTTTTTCGTTAACGATGTGAGCTCGATAAGGATCGACGTTGCTGGAAGAAGGATAGGAGATCGATTTAAGGGTAAGTTTGTCCTAAAATTTTATATTTTTAACGTAGCAGTATTCTAAATATAGTTTGTCCACCTTATCAATCGGTTCATGCATGACTCGGGTTAAATAAGTCGCTTCAGGTGCAGTACTCTTTGTTCCCCTGTTCAAGTGGCGTCAGTATTTTGATAGTGGCACTTCCGAGTTTCATTAAATATATCTGTGCTCTAATTTTTCTATTTTTTTTAATTAGTAAATTTGAATTTTACCAACCAAAAATAAATTATTATTTAATTGTGAATAAAAAATTAAATATGTTTCACCAGAGTCAATGTTTGACAATAAATCCAATTTTCTTGGGAGCTTGAGAGGCTTTTAAAAACTAAAACAACCCCTTATGTTGCTTTCTTACATTTTGCTTGCGCATTAAAGAAAAATTAATAGTGGTTAATGCTTTTGTTTTCTTCAAGACAAATAAAATGTTATGTGATGACATTTCATCTATAATTATTTATTACAGTAATATTTATAATGATCCATTACCAAACACTTGGCCTGCCTCATCTTTAAAATAAGATTGTATTTGCAACTTTAGTCTACTTCTTGTGTCGTTTCTGTTTTTTGGTTTTTGACTAGTTATGATGAAAAGAATTTCCAGGCAATTATCACAATCATCATACTTTTTAATTTATATCAATTAATAAGAGTCCTCATTAAAAACATGTAAAAACGGGTCACAAGAAAAGTGAAAATGCATGCATACCTCATTAAAAATAAAATACTAACCATAGAAAGGGACCTAGCTAATGAAGAGTGGTTGAAAATTCAATATTTCATCCAAGCACACTCTATTATATCATTGTTGATTTGATTTCTCTTTCTTTAAAGTCAAAAAAACAAATGCAGAGCTGTGACCACATGAAAATATGAAATGTCCCATAGCATATGAAAAAATAAGTGTTTTAAAAGGGTGGCAACCCCCTGTTTTTTTGGCAAGTGGGAGGGAGACCCTCTGGAAAATGAGAGGTTTAAAATATTAACACATGCGAAACGCATTTCTTATGAAACCCCAATTAAAATAAATTTCATACTTTCAACTTTAAAGTTTAAGCCCATATAAAGCCTCATTCTCTTAATTAACTTTCCATCCATTCAATAAACCATAATTGAAACTTAATTACCCAAAAACAAACATTTCCTAGAGCAAGTGACATGTCTTCCTTTCAATCCACCATGACCTCAAACTTTGACGAGCAACGATGGGTGATTCAAATCCGTCGAACCCTAGACGAAGAGCTCGAAGAGGAAGCTGAAATCCCGGTAAGCATCTTCAACGTGCCCAAAACCCTAATGGCTAGTGATCCGGATTCATATATTCCACAAGAAGTTGCACTAGGTCCATACCATTATTGGCGTCCGGAGCTCTATGAGATGCAGAGATATAAGCTTGCTGCTGCTAAAAGAATTCAGAAACAGCTCCAGTGCCTCAAGTTCCAAAATCTTGTCAACCAGTTGATAGAGCTGGAGCTGAGGATTCGAGCTTCCTACCACAAGTACCTAGATTTCAATGGCGAAACCTTGGCTTGGATGATGGCAGTAGATGCATCCTTCATGCTTGAGTTTCTTCAAATCTATGCTCTCAAAGAAGGTAAGACTCTAACCAGAATTTCATCTAGGATATCCCATTTGGTTGATATTTCAGGCAGCAAGTCAGCCCATAATGCCATTCTTCGCGACATGGTAATGCTCGAGAATCAAATCCCACTTTTCCTACTAAGGAAGATGCTAGAATTCCAATTTTTGTCCTTGGAATTGTCAGATGATATGTTACAGTCCATGTTTATGGGATTGTCCAAGGAGATTTCCCCCTTCAAGATGATGGAAGAATTACCAAATGTTCAAGTCTCTAAGTGCTCTCACTTGCTAGACTTTTTGTACCATTTGATAGTGCCCAAATTGGAACTAGATCATCAATCATCCGAAATAACTGAAGTTCATGAGAATCAAGAAGATGCCAAGAAAGGAGAAGAAGATTCATTTGGGAAATCAAGTCATGTTAAACAAATCCTTGAAGTGATTTGGAATCTCTTTTCAAAATTAAACAAGGGTCCGGTACGTCTTCTCAAGAGGGTAATATTCTCAAAGCCTGTCAAAGTGATATTAAAATTGCCTTTGACAATTGTCTCTAACCTTCCGGGGATTAGTGTTTTGAAACAACCCATTGAATTGTTCTTCTCCCACAGAAAAGAAGGAGGAAAACCTGAAAATGAGAGTTCTAATTCGACTGATAACATTAGCAAAGCTCCACTAGTTGAGGAAATCACAATCCCTTCAATCACCGAGCTCTTCAAAGCCGGTGTTCATTTGTTACCCACTAATGGTAGCATTTCAACCATTAGTTTTGACGCTAAAAAAGTTACACTGTACCTCCCTACGGTTAGTTTAGATGTGAACACGGAGACAGTCTTTAGAAATTTAGTAGCATATGAAGCTTGCAACGCATCGGGTCCATTGGTTTTCACTCGTTACACTGAATTAATGAATGGGATTGTTGATAATGAAGAGGATGCAAAGCTACTTAGAGAAAAAGGGATTATTTTGAACCATTTGAAGAGTGAAAAAGGAGTTGCCAACCTGTGGAATGGAATGAGCAAGTCTGTTAGGTTGACCAAAGTGCCCTTCTTAGATAAAGTGATTGAAGATGTCAACAAGTATTACAATGGTAGGTGGAAGGTTAGAGTTGGAAAATTCATGAAGAGTTATGTGTTTGGGTCATGGCGAATTCTCACTCTGCTGGCTGCTGTTTTGCTCTTGTTGATGATGGCCTTACAAGCCTTTTGCTCTGTGTATACCTGTTCTCGTATATTCAATCATATCACTACCGTTTCAACGGTTTCGTGATCCTGTATGTACATCTCTATCATGAGTGGTGGTATTCCTGATTTCCTCCATTCATCAGACATACTTGCAATATTATCTACTTTCGGTTTGTCTGAATTTGCTGTCTTCTCACTAAAGAAGAAAGAATGTAATGATGTTGTGATTGTATTAAATTGCTAGGTTTTTAATGCATGTCGTGATCATGATGCTGTGTTCAGTGCTGTTTGGATTCTTTCCTTAAATTAAAATTTCTATTCAGCTTTTTCTTAGTTTTAAATAATATATGATTTTGCATTTGCTTGACAGAGAATATGTCAATATGTTATGTGATTAGCATATTATGGATAATATAAAATTATTAAAATATAATTACTATAGACTTATATACATGTCGCAAACCAAAGAAGGAATAAAGGAAGATTTTATATATATATATATGTACAATAGCAAGAATATATTCTTTGATTTAGAGCAGTACTTCTACTTACACCAACGCAAGTATACTTTATGAAGAGAATATTAGACTAAACATGAGTTTTAAAAAGAAAAGGAGAGGAGAAGGAAACAAATAAAATGAAGTGCAGATATGTCTATTTGTGTGTGTAGTATCTAATATGAAGTACTTTCATGATACCATTGAACTATGGGTTAACCATGCCCAAAATTCAAGTGTCTTTTTTTCTTTTTTGTTTTGGTAATCACCCATTAGTCACTTTGGACTTTTTAATGATTTACAAAAAATCAAATATTATGTTTAAAACGAAGAAAAAATATTTACAAGGGCCATAACCCCGGGACCTAAAATGCTCCAACCATATCTAAACCATGCCCTACTGGTTGCCAGAATGCCAGTGATGATGGAAGATACTTTAGCTTTTTGGCTAATGCTCCAACCATGTGTATATAAATATATATATATATATATATAGTGCACTACATGGGCGCCAATTATCAAGAAGATTATATACCACTTATATCTCCATTCCATTCTCCCTGTTGCGTTCTGAAGCGTCCTATGCGTCCTCCAGATTGAATGCCTGGGGTGGGCTTTTGAGCCCTCCAAAAAATAAAAATTTATTACCACAGCCAATTTTAGCCCAGCTAATAAAAATAAATAAATAAATAAATTTATTAATAGTATTAGCCTATACAAATATTAACACACCCCTTTGATAATAATTCATGGATCCGCCATTTGCCACGTTTTTCTCACCACAATGTGTCTGTAGTCTGAAATCTGAATCAGTTTATGATATTTTGTACTTTTTGTGGGTTGGGTTGGGTTTTTGTTTTGTTCCAACCTTTTGTTGGGACTTTACTTATCTAGTTTTTTTTGTTAAGTTTTACATATCTGGTTTGATCTATCAGTAACCCTTCTACAAGATTTAAAGAGTAAGTTTGAAGTTGTGAGCTTTTAGACGGGGGAGTCGCAAAGTCGTCGTTCAGTGAGTTGAGTCTTGATAGAGTGAAGGAGTGTGAGCCTGAGTTAAAATGAGTTGTATTTTACTTCAAACATAGCAGATCGTTTTTGCTCAAGATTGCGAAAGTCTCTGTGATTTTTGTCTCGGTTGGTTGGATTTCTTCTAACTAGGGTTTCCAAGCACAAAAATCTGGTGTTATCTCTCAAACTTAATTCATGTATTCATTGTAATTCCTTTGGCCACTTACCTGGAAGTTGTCTGCCTAAAAACAATGTTCCTGTTAACACTGATGCAAGTACTTCTAACCATGCTCATGAATGGAAAAAAGTCTCGAGGAAGACTCCCAAACATTCCATTCCCCTCACCAACTGTGACCCCAATATCACCCCCATCTCACCCTCTCCCAGCCTTATCAACACACCACAAATCTCCCCAGCTGAGACTGTTGATTCAGGCAAAGGGAAAGAGATATGTTTGTATGTTGATCTCTCTATGCCAATCATTCCAGGGAAAACAATATGTTCTGAGCCCATAACCACTGCTAACCCCTTTGAGGCTCTCTCTAATGGAAATCTAGAGGAGAATGGGGATGAGATAGAAGAGGAAATAGATCAATTCTCTGCTTGTGAGAGTGATAGCAATGACCCAGCCTTCTCTCCATTGGAGGGAAAAATGATCCAACCAAGGAAACCTAAATTCTCAAAGACTAAAAAAAAGCATGGAAAAGGAAAAGGGAAGGTTGTTACCTTAAAAGGGTTTAGAAGTATGTGTAGCCTCTCAAGCTCTTCTCAATGAATTGGGCTGCATGGAATGTAAGAGGGTTGAACTCTCCCCTCAAACAAGTAGAGGTTAAGAATCTCATTAGAGATTCCAAATTGTCCCTTATTGCCTTATTGGAAACCAAAATCAGCCCTGATAATGCTGAGACAGTGCACAAGTTTATTGCCCCTAGCTGGAATTTTGTTTACAATTATTCCCACTCTGTTCTTGGTAGGGTATGGCTCCTTTGGAATTCGGAAAAACTAAGTCTTTCAATATCAAGCACTACAAACCAATCCATTAACTACTCTATCCTCATTCTGGATCTGAATTAAGGTTAGATGTCTAGCATCATTTATATATGGAGCCAATACAGCAGTGGAAAGGAAGAGTTTATGGAGAAGTCTTAACATTCATGGTCAAGCTTCTGTGCCTTGGGTCCTTTTGGGTGACTTTAATGTTTTGCTACATGTTAATGACTCATTTGGAGGTGCTCTGAGATGGACTCCTGGTATGGAGGATTTTAAGTCATGTTTGAATAGAAATGAGCTTGAAGACCTGAGATATCAAGGTATCTTTCACTCTTGGACTAATAAAAGCTTTGGGTGTGCTAATATTTCAAGGAAATTAGATAGGGTTCTTGCAAATCAAGCTTGGTTGGCAAAATTTCCTAAATCTAATTGTTGTTTCAAACCTCGAGGGGTCTCAGATCATGCCCCAATGATTGTCTGTATTAGGGAAGTTAATATAATAAGGAATCTACCTTTTAGGTTCTTCAACTTTTGGACAAACCACAGAGACTTCCTTTCAATTGTATCAAATGGTTGGCAGTTGGATGTTCAAGGCACTAAAATGTTCAGAGTTATACAGAAGCTTAGAGCTTTGAAAGAACCACTTAAGCAACTCAACAAGAAGGAATACAGTGACATCTCCTCTAGAGTTCAAGCTTGTAGAGAAGACCTCTATGCATGTCAATCCAACCTTGACTTTAACCCTATTGATGATCAATTAAGGAATAGAAAGAAGCAGCTGGTTGACAAATTCACTGAGCTTTGTTTAGCTGAAGAACTATTTTACAAGCAGAAGGCACAAATTCTTTGGTTGAAAGAAGGTGATAATAATACTTTCTACTTCATGAAGAACTTCTCCACTAAATGTAACAGAAGAAAAGTGGAATCAATCCTAAATAGTGATGGAATCTAACTACATGGGAAGGATCTACAGCCAGAATTTCTCAACCATTTTCAAAACTCAATTGGACAGCTTTACCAACACTACCCAGGTATGGCATCCTTTTCTCACCTTATCACCAAAATAGTTCCATCAGACCTCATTCCCTCATTATCAGCAATTCCCTCTGACAATAAAATTAGATAGTGCATGTTCTCCTTTCACCCTTTTAAAAGTCCTGGACCAGATGGCTATAATTCAAGCTTTTTCACCCATTCTTGGCCTATCATTGGTTAAGAAGTAACAGCTGCAATCAAAGACTTTTTTATTTCTAGGAAGTTGCTCACAGAAATCAACTCTTCCTACATTGCCTTAGTGCCCAAAACTCCTAACCCTACAACAATCCATGATTTCAAATACCCTTAAATGCATATCCAACCTGATTGCTTTGAAGATTAGCTCAGTCTTTCCTACCTTGATTAGTCCCTCTCAAAATGAATTTGTGAAAGGTAGGCATATCTCTGAAAATGTAATCATTGCCCATGAGTTGTTTAATGGGTATCATAAGTCATCACACCCTCCTAGCTGTGCTCTAAAGGTGGATCTTAGGAAGGCATTTGATAATATTCATTAGCAGTTCATAATTGATACCCTTAACCTCATGGGGTTTCCAGCCTGCTTGCTTAACTAGATTTCTCAGTGTCTCACCACTCCATCTTACTCCATTTCCTAAAATGGTGAGCTTTTGGGTTACTTCAAAGGTCGAAGAGGGATTAGGCAAGGTGACCCTATTTCCCCTTTATTATTTGTCATTGCAATGGAGGTTTTTACCCTTGCCATGAATAATGCTATTGTCAACAATCCTAACTTTAAATTCCACTGGAGGTGCAGCAAGTTGGCTTTATCCCACCTTACTTTTACAGATGATATACTGTTATTTTCACATCGAAGTTTGGTTTCAGTTCAAACACTATTCCTGGCCCTGAATCAATTTCTGGAATTCTCTGGCTAAGTTTAAACCCATCCAAGAGTCTTGTATTTTTCTCTGGAGTTGATCATCAAACCAAAACTGACATCCTTAACCTCCTTCAGTTTAATACTGGATCTCTACCTGTCACCTACCTGGGACTTCCACTTACATCTAAAGCTCTCAATTCAACTGATTGCACACTTGGTTGAAAGAATCACAGCTAGAGCAAAGAGACGGACCTCTAGATTTCTTTCATTTGCTGGTAGATCTGTTCTTATCAAATCCATTCTTTGTTCTATGCAAAACTACTGGGCACAAACTTTTGTCCTACCCAAGAAAGTCATTGATGAAGTTAATAGAATCTTGAAGAGGTTTCTTTGGTCAGGTCCTGAATTGAAGTCATCATGTGCTAAAGTTGCATGGGATGTGGTGTGTATGCCATGGATCAATAGTGGTTTAGGCTTCCCAAGCTTGGAAATGACAAATCTTATTGCAAATTTGAAGCATATATGGAAGCTATTCGCTAGGAGGAAAGAAAGCCTATGGGTCTTATAGATACTTAATCAAAGCTAAAAGTTTCTGGACAGTTAAGTCAACAACTTTAAGCTCTGGTTTTTAGAGGAGGTTGTTAAAGCTAAGGGACATGGCAAGGGGTCTGTTGAAGCACAAGATAGGGAAGGGTACTAACACTATGATGTGGCTGGACTATTGGCTTCCAAATGGTCCTATTCTTAACCAAATTTACCCCAATGATGGGGAAATTCTTCAACTGGACTTGAGAGTCAAAATTGATAGATTAATTTCCTTGAATCATTGGGAAGTCCCTGACTCACTTGCTCACATTCCATTCTTCCAATCACAGAGTTTCCAATCTCAACTAAATGAGCTGCCAAACCCATCCTCTGAAGCTGATTCAGTAATATGGTTACCCTCTCCCAACTTTAATTTTTCTCTTGTTCATACAATCAACGACCTCCTTCCCTCTACATTCAATTTTACATGGTACAAGACCATTTGGTTTAAGCATCATATCCCCAAACACAGTTTCATCACCTGGTTGGCCATAAAGGGAAAACTATACACTTTGGATAGAAAACCAATGAGACACAAACATTATATTAACACATGTTATCTTGCCTTGCTAACTGTGAATCACTGGATCACTTATTCTTCCAATGTCAGTATTCAAAGGTAATCTGGTCATACATTCAGCACTCAATTGGGCTTTACATCCAACCTTCTTCCTGGAATGATTTGATCACTTGGTGCTCTTCACACTGGAGTTCAATGGGATTCTTGGTCCACAAATTATTGCTCTCAACTGCTGTCTATTTTCTTTGGATGGAGAGAAATAATAGAGCTTTCAGAAACTCATCCTCACCCCCAAATACTATCATCAATCAGATTAGGAAATCAATTAGAGGGAGGTTGGCTTCAATCAAGTTGAAGAAAATAGCTGACCTAAGAAATATTAACAAGCTTGATAACTTGCAGAAACTCTTTATGGAAAGTTGCAGCTTAGCTCATGCCCAGGCTCTTATCACTGATTAGCTGCTGCTGTCCTAAGTTAAAGATTTGATGAGATGCTATCTCTTTAGCTTTGGTTTAGAATGGTCTTCGTGTAAGTTTTGGTTTTGTTGTTAGCCTGATTTGCTTCCATATGTTGTTTATAGTTCTCATGCCAAGCTTTTGCTTGTTAGCTTTTGTTCCTCTGTATGTTGCAGTTTGATGTCCCCAAAACTTTGGGGTTGATTTGTACATATTTTCTCCTTTTATAAAAGCTTACCTTTAACTAAAAAAAAAAAAAAAAAAAAGAAGTTATTTTTAATACAAACTTCCACATCACATCTTTAGCGACCAAACCACCATTGCAAAACCCCTTCGAGCCTCAGTCCAAGCAACAGCGAGTTTCAAACCACCTTGACGCAACTTGTTTTCAATAATCTTACGATCGACTTGGAAATTCCAGTGACAGCATACTCCATCAGCTTGAAGACCATTAAGACCTACATGTAAGCTTTGACAAACCCAAATGCAAATATCCATGTACATTCTTCTTTCGGTGATAGAACTAGCGAGCTCCGACCGTACAAAACCCATCTTCATTGACCAAAAGGTTCAAACAAATGAGGAGAAGTAGCGTCCATTAAAACCGGTAAAAAACTTCAGGGAACTATTCTGACAAGCACTGAGTCGCAACATCCTTTGTAGCTGGCAAAGTATATTTGATCCATCTCCATAGAATTCGGTCATCAACAATGAGAAGTTTCAACCATGCGTGGTGTAAGTTATGCGGTGCGGAAGTTACAGTTGATTAAGTTGTGATTAACTCCCTAAATGACCTAGAGAAGATGATTAGGCCAATTTGCCCAATTTTTGTGATTGATTAATTTATCCACAAATGTGATTAATTAAACATCCATAACCACAAAAATAAATACTGAAAAGTAAAGTACGAAAAGTAAAGATTGATTTATCCACAAATGTGATTAATTAAACATCCATAACCACAAAAATAAATACTAAAAAGTAAAGTAGGAAAAGTAAAGATTGAGTTATGACACCAGAAATTTTATCGAGCAAACCAATTAGAAAACCTCGAGGTTTTTTGTGTTTTCCCGAGTGTAAAACGATCCACTATGTATGAAGTAAAGTACACTGAAATTTGACTCAGGCGCGATCATACCCCTTCACCCTACCAAGACCCAACTTAGTGCCTTTTTTTCTTCTTGTTGTTTTCGAGCTACCTTTTGGTAGCCTGTATTGTTTTTCCTTTCTTTGAATAAATTGACTTACCCAAAAAAAAATATATCTGCCATTTTAGTTCCAAAAATTCATCGTCAAATTTGAGTCATATTTGAGTAAAAATGATATTATATAGAATTTTGAAAATTAGCCAATTTCGTACATGGTCATTACGGAAGAAGTCTACCCAAAATAAGAAGTCAAAACAGGCCAAGAAATAAAGTTACCAAAAAGGTCTGAAGGAGTTGAACTGGTTCAGGAGGGGCTGAACTGTTTTAAGTTGGCCAGAAGTGAAATTGAGAAAATCAACTTTACTACTTGAACCGATTCAAGAGTGGCTGAACTTGAATATCACTAAAAAGCCTTCAAAAGTTGAACTGATTCAAGTTATGAACTAGTTCAAGTTAAGCAGAATGGAAATTTTCATTAAAAGCCCAATTTTGAACCACCCAAGTGTCTTCACACACTCACTTTCCTTCCTAAATCATTGTTCTCATTGTCACGGAGTGTATCAAAATATGTACACAATCACTTTTTCAATTCTGCTTCCGATCTTGAATCTTGACAATTCGAACTAAAAATTTACAACTCAATATATTCGACTCGTTTTGACAACAAAATTTGCCAAATTACAAATTTATATTTCACACGTGGGTGTGTATATATATACCTTCATCATTAGCAGCAAGGTTTTTAAGCTTGGATGACAGGGTGAGTTGCTGCTTTTGGGCCTTTTGGTGCTCGCCTAAAATGGTGTTTGCTGGCACCATGATGAATGGATAGAGACGGTTTTGGAGAGAGAGAAAGGATAGAGATAAAAAATAAAATAAAATTCTTGCTTAAAACAGTAGAGGGTATTTTAAGATTTTTATAAATAAATAAATAAATATGGTAAAAATTGATGATTATGGTACAATTTGATTAAAAAATAGATAATATAGGAAGTTATATGAAGAAAAAAAAAAAAATTTAATAGAAAGTTTTATTGCCCTTATTTGGGATTTTTTTTGCCCTTATCCCAATAAAATATGTGCCAGATTCTATGGGTGCTGAATCTTTCTTAAACAAACACCACCATATCAAGCCAAGCATCCAAATCCTTACAACCCCATGTTTTTCATACAAAGAATAAAACCACATTACTTACCTTATCCTACTTGCATGATTACCATCCAAAGGAATACCAATCAAAGAGGCGTGATCCCATGCACTGTACTGCCATGCATGTCAACAACATATACATGTCACGTCATCTACACAGGGCCCACCAAAGTGAGGTGTCAACACGTACTTGCACATAGTGATCATTATCATCAAAGCTTCGTGTATCATTAAAGGCTAGTTGCACCGTAATTTTAAACCCTAATCTCTTGGGTTGTGAGAGTTTACTTTGCAGACTAAATAGGTTTTGTTCCCCAGTTCAAGTGGTGTCTGCATTTGAAAGTGTACTTGTGATTAAATTTATGTGAGCACGTATATTTAATTACATTATAAGTAGGTTGTTATTTTTCATTCACATGGAATGTATTTAACTTTCGAAGTACTAGCTTATTATTATTTTCATTAAACATCTTTGTGCTCTAATTTGTGGTTAATAAATTTTAATTTTACCGACCAAAAATAAGTTATTATTTTAATTGTGAATAAAATATATATATAGGTTTCAGGAGAGTCAATGTTGGCAATAAAATCCAAATTTCTTGGGAGCTTGAGAGCTGCTAAAACAACTTCTTTAGTTTTTATCAAAACTAAATATTAACCATACATAGAAATGGACCTAGCTAATTAGGACTGATTTAAAATTCAATATTTCATCCAAACACACTGCATTACATATATCATTGTCCATTTCGATCTCTTTGTCTTTGCTTAACAAGTGTAGAGCTGTGACCACATGAAATTATGCACAGGCCACAGGCCAAAGGCCATAGCATATGTCGTATGAAAAAACCTAAGGGTCTTAAAAGGGTGGGGGACTCCTTTTTTGGTTTTTTTGGCAAGTGGGAAAGTGAGAGCCGATGGAGCTAGCTAGGTTTAAAATATGAAATAATTAGACATGTGAGAAACGCATTTCTTATGACACACCACCACCACCATTTAAAGCCTCAATTCGATCTCTTAACTTCCCCACCACCACCATTCATTAAACCAAAACTGAAACCTAGCTTACCCAAAACAAACATTTCCCAGAGCAACTGACATGTCTTCCTTTCAACCCACCAATACCATAACCTCAAACTTTGATGAAAAACGATGGGTGATTCAAATCCGTCGAACCCTAGATGAAGAGCTCGAAGAGGAAGCTGAAATCCCCGTCAGCATCTTCAGCGTGCCCAAAACCCTAATGGCTAGTGACCCAGATTTATATATTCCACAACAAGTTGCACTAGGTCCATACCATTATTGCCGTCCCGAGCTCTACGAGATGGAGAGATATAAGCTTGCTGCCGCCAAAAGAATGCAGAAACAGTTCCAGAGCCTCAAGTTCCAACATCTTGTCAACCAGATGATAGAGCTGGAGCTGAGGATTCGAGCTTCCTACCACAAATTCCTAGATTTCAATGGCGAAACCTTGGCTTGGATGATGGCAGTAGATGCATCCTTCATGCTAGAGTTCCTTCAAATCTATGCTCTCAAAGAAGGTAAGACTCTAACCAGAATTTCATCTAGAATGTCCCATTTGGTTGATATTTCAGGCAGAAAGTCAGCCCACAATGCCATTCTTCGCGACATGGTCATGTTGGAGAATCAAATCCCACTCTTCCTACTAAGGAAGACGCTAGAATTCCAATTTTCATCGTCGGAATTGTCAGATGATATGTTACATTCCATGTTAATGGGATTGTGCAAGGAGCTTTCTTCCTTCAAGATGATGGAAGAATTTCCAAAAGTTCGAGTCTCTGAGAGCTCTCACTTGCTAGACTTTTTGTACCATCTGATAGTGCCCAAATTGGAACTAGATCATCAATCATCCGAAATATCTGAAGTAAATGAGAATCGACAAGATTCCAAGAAAGGAGAAGAAGATTCATTTGGGAACTCAAGCTATGTTCAACAAATCCTTGAAGTGATTTGGCAACTACTTTCAAAATTAAACAAGGGTCCGGTACGTCTTCTCAAGAGGGTAATATTCTCAAAGGTTGTCAAAGTGATAATAAAATTGCCTTGGACAATTGTCTCTAACCTTCCAGGGATTAAAGTTTTGAAACAACCCATTGAATTGTTCTTCTCTCAAACAAAAGAAGAAGTAAAACATGAAAATGAGAGTTCTAATTCGAATGCTAACATTAGCAAACCTCCACTAGTTGAGGAAATCACAATCCCTTCAGTCACCGAGCTCTTCAAAGCCGGTGTTCATTTCTTACCCACTAATGGTAGCATCTCAACCATTAGTTTCGATGCTAAAAAAGTGACACTGTACCTTCCCACGGTTAGTTTAGACGTGAACACGGAGACAGTCTTTAGAAATTTAGTAGCATATGAAGCTTGCAATGCATGCGGGCCACTGGTTTTCACTCGATACACTGAATTAATGAATGGGATTATTGATAACGAAGAGGATGTAGAGCTACTTAGAAAAAAAGGAATTATTTTAAACCATTTGAAGACTGATGCGGAAGTGGCCAACCTGTGTAATGGAATGAGCAAGTCTGTTAAGTTGACCAAAGTGCCCTTCTTAGATAAAGTGATTGAAGATGTGAACAAATATTACAATGGTGGGTGGAAGGTTAGAGTTGGGAAATTCATGAAGAGTAATGTGTTTGAGTCATGGCGATTTCTCACACTGCTGGCTGCTGTTTTGCTCT